GTTGTAGACTAATATTTTTGCATATTAATACTTAGATTGTGCCACATATTGTACCAAGTATGGTCACCTAAATTATTTTATTGAATATAATTTTTACAATCCATTGAGGCAAGGATATTTTCCTTAATTAGCAGAAGAGGAAATAGAGTGTTAAAGTGATGACTTGCCTGAAGTCACAACAGTTAATATGTGCTGGGATTAGAGTTAAGAGTTAGAAATGTGGTCTGTTAGACTTCAATGTACATATTCTCTTGAATTGTAAGGAATCAGGTGGCCAAATACTTTCACATTTGAGATAACCAGTGTTATATTGCTCTTCTTGAAACCTGCCACTACTGTTCTTTTAATTCTAGGATGCACTCATTATTATTAACAAGTGTTAATTACATTTTTGCTGGCTTTGCTCAGGACACTGTTGCATGTGGCATTAATTTGGGGAGGATAGATATTGAGGTCTGTGATTCTGGGAGAGAACTGGAAAACTGTTGAGAGAGATGTGCATTTCTGTGGCTATTCATTCTCAAATTGTCATATTTAAATATGTAGATTAATAAGAGTATTATTAAGTGAGCATGTAGATGTGAAAAAAGAAAAAATTAAAAGATTGGAAAAGACTTACTGAAAAGAAAAATAACAAAAGCTAAAATACTGTGTAGATTTAAATGTAAAAGCAGAATACTACTTTGAAATGACTTTTTTGGGGGGAGAAGGTAGAGGGAGATAGAGGATAACTGGTGAATATATACTTAGTACGGTCAGTTTTGCCAGGTGAAATTTATTTTAAAGACTTTTAAATTAGTTTGAAAGTAATTGAAAGAATGTAATCAACATATTGGTATATGTAATGTGATTGCTAGAACCTGTAGCTACAGGCTAAAATTGGAAAATGATACTTTTTTATATAGGGAGTTATTTTAATTTAATTGTGTATTTTTTGCCAAAGGTAAAAGTAAAGTAATAACACCTTTAAAATATTTTTCTTGAAGTTGGACATGAAAACAAAAATGATAGAAGCTAAATTTCATGAAGACAAGCTTAAACTACAGCAGAAACATGATGCTGATGTTCAGAAGGTAGGATATATATTGCTTGTTCTTTTATTTACATTGAATTTTTAAAATATTCTGGGTCTTGTGATGATTCTTCTTACATTTACCCATCTATCTACCCACCTCTCTATCCACTTATTTATGTACTTTATGACAGTCTGTACTAAATGGAATTTATTAAAGTAATATCCCAGCAAAAATTGATCTTTAAACTTCATTTGCTAAACATATATGTTTATATAAAACCTTCTATTTCTATTACATTTTAGTTCTTCTTCAACTATTGCTTTAAAGCTGGCTTTCCTTTATCTGCATTCTATTGTTACCTTTCATGAAAGTTGAAATAAGACATCAACTGTAAATATTAGAATTCATTTTATCTTAATATTTTTTCAGTTTTCTAATAATTGAAATTTCCTTTTTAATTTAAAAAGGAACTCTTGGACTTAGTTCTGTTTGGTATAGACTACATGCATTATAATCCACTGACAATAAAGGCCTTTTTTTAAAGCAGCTCATTGGGATTTATGCTTTCTAATCTTTCAACTTATATTTTTAAATAAAATTTATTTTTCTTCTCAACTGTCATAGTAAAAACCATCAATTTATGGTTAATCTACATGGAATTTGAGTTGATACTATACTTTAGTAATGATTAAAAATGTAGGTGATAATCATGTGTATTTTTTTTTTTTTAATACATGAAGGCTGATTCAAATAGAAACCTTGTATTTACTGTTTCAAAACTAAGCCTATGGTTCTGCTTCCCAACACTGAGTGACAGAGATAGAGGTAGATAGTTGAAGCTACAGCATCTTGTATCCAAGCTTTCTTAAAAGCTTAAAACATATTAATATTTAGTTAGGTGCTTATTTGGCTCATCTTCTTTCAAAGCAACCAGGAGGAAACCACTGATTGGATATTAGAAAAAGTATTGAATCCTTTTTTCTCTTTTCTTCTCCCCTATTCAAATGTTAAAAACAAATAATTACTTTAGTTTATTTGTTTAGATAATACTAATAGTTCTCTATAATAATTATGTTAGAGAATCAGTAATATGATTTCAATATAACATGGCCTAATGGAGCAGAATCTCTTGATGTGTAAGATATTGATGTATAAGATAAAGGAATATAAAAATATATTTGGAAAAATCATTGTGATAGAGTCTGAAATAGACCTCTTTGTATGTCTGTTACAAAGATTTATTCTAAGAAAAATATTTAATAATGTAATTCTTTTCAAGAATTTCTCTTTTAAAATAAATTCTATGTGAAAAAAGAAAGCAATGAAACTAGTTTGAGGTGCCAGGTAAAATATAAATAAAATCCTGAACTTATGCCAGATTTGGAAAGCATATTCATCAGTTTGTTGCTTGTATGATATTTTCTAAGTGTCAGGAATTAGGGAGGGATAAAATTTAGAGTGTTTTATTTATTAGCATACATTGTTTTCCTTTTTTGCTTCTTCTTAGACATTAGGATCAAACTTGCTCCTTTCCTTATGGGATTAAAACAAGGAAGGGCAAAGTAAATGCTTGTAGTAAAAACACTAAGAAAAAGTTGGTTAGACGTTGGTGAGTAACTTTCTTATTAGCTGACTTCGGATATATAGGAAATATACCCCAACCATAAGAAAAGTGGATATTCTTACTCCTACTTCAATTTACTATTCTTTTTTCCCTTTGATTTGCATTTTCTCCTGTTTGCTAACTTTCCTACATGTTGGCTATTTTTGTAGCTTTTTATTTTTTGAGTGTAGATATATTTTGAAGTATAAAAACATGATTAAATTTTATTAAATGATTAAATTGGAAGCTTCTGGCACAATATAACCTAATAATGTAAATTTTCATGCAATTTTTGACATACTTTTAGCTGATTTTTCTGATTTACAGTAGCAGATCCTAGATGGAAAAGAAGTCTGTTACATGTCATCTTCCCATGTATTGGGAAATTCTTGTTATTGTGCACTAAAATGATAGAAGAGCACTTGTGGGAGGATTCAAGGATATGCCGAATTGAAAGATGTTCTATCCAATGCAATGGGATGACTTGTACTATCCCAACATGTCAAGATTCTGATGGCTTCTCTCTGCCATTTTGTAGCAGTTTAATTTCTGAATTATATTTGAGAATTACCTAATTTATTATTTATACTCTCCTTAAAACTGATATATGAAAATCCCAAAGAGATAACATATTTGTTTCAGGTAATTAGTCTAGTATATTTAATAATTTTCTCAATGGACTATAATAAAATTTTTATAATTTTTATGGAAACCATTTATGAGATTAGCTGAGATAGACTTGCAAAAAAGATTGTGCTCATTAAAAAAAACCATGTGTAGAATACTTAAAACAATACAATATACTGAAACATTTTAAATTTTTTTGCAGATTTTAGAAAGAAAGAACAATGAAATAGAAGAACTAAAAATTTTATACAAAAAGAAACAAAATGAAACTGAAGAAACTATTAGGAAGCTTGAAAAAAAAGGTGATGTGTTGTTACATAAATCTTTTAATAACATTTTATTTTAGTGATTATAGAGAATAAAATTTGATTTTGGAACTTTTGTATTATGAGGTGGAAATGTTTATTCATGTGGGCTTCCACCGATGGGTAAATTTATGTAGGCTTCCATATAGCTGGGAAAAAACAGTGTGTGTGTGTGTGTGTGTGTGTGTGTGTGTGTGTGTATGTGTATGTGTGTGTGTAATGGCAACAGTGAAGGGGTGGTAGTGGTGGTTGGTTTGGTTAAGGAGTTGGAAGAGCATGTTGCTGTCACTCCCTCTTCTTAACTATCTCTCTTCTCATTGTGGTAGAGCCGCCATAGATCAGTTGAAGGAAGTCATAGAATTAGGACTTACTGGCTTTCATGAGAAATTGAAGGAAATTATTCTTCATCCAGTAAAATTCATTACATTAAGTATTTACTTTATGCCTTACAGTATTTATTAGTATTGTAATTGACAGAAAAAACTTATAAAGTATTATCCATTTATACTTTCAGTAACAAGTAAAGGAAAGCATGTAATAAAGTATTAAATAGACTATAATTATAGGTCAAACATCTAAATCAGCAGGTGGTCATGAGAGAGAATATTGAAAATATCTTTTGGAGAAAGGAATTTTTGTAAGAGTTTTAAAAGTTTTTAAAGATTTGATTAGTTGGAGAGAAGAGTTCCAGGTACTGAAATATGAATGCTGAAATTGGTAAGTTGTGGGAAGGATGCTGTGAAAATATTTAGCTAGAGTGGATACCCTATACGTTAAGAGATAGATTTAAAAATATTAAGGTAGTTGACTTGGGGCTAGATTAAGCATGGCCTTGAGTTTCAGATTTAGAAGTTTGATCTTTATCCTGTAGATGATGGGGAACCAGAGAAGATTTTTGAGATGTGAGTTTTAGGACCCATGTTTTGGGAGGAGTGAGTTACCTGGTAATAATGGTGGGTGTGTTGAACCTGGGTGAGGCCAATTCCTGGTCTGTTACATTGGTCAGAGGCAGACAGTAGTGAAGAAAACATTCCACTCATTAGAAAACAGGCTCTGCTATTCAATGTCTGGTATATGACATCAGGAAATCTCTGGGCCTTGGTTAACTCATTATAAAATGGTGAGGTAGAAATAAATAATATATAAAGTCCCTTCCAAGTCAAAGATGTTATGCTTCTGTGCTTCTGTAATTTTGCATGTTAAGGTGATAGGACCCAGAATATCTGAGTGATGGCAGTGGGAGTAGTGAGAATGGAACTGAAGAAGAAATTCTGAGGAGTGGATCATGATTTGGTGAATGATAAGATGTAAGCAATGATTAAGAGGAAAGGAGATAAGAAGGTTTTCATTGAGGAGTTTCTATATGGCTGTCCCCGACATCTCCAAACTTGAGCATATCTGAATTAATAGTAATGCTCTTGACAGTTTAGGATAGCAATTAAATATATAAATTAACCAATGAAATAGATATTTTTAGGTTCATTTCCAGCCTTAAATGTTGGTGAAAACAATTAGAAATCTGTTTAGGTTCTTTCTCAAAATATTATCAGTGGGTAAAAAATATTTTAAATTTATTTCCAGGTTTTCTGTTTTTACTCTGATTCAAACCAGGCAATTCAAACATGCGTAAGGTTTAAGAATGCCTAAGTTTTAAAAATAATGTTTCTTAAGGCTTTTTGGATAGCAACCAGATCTTAGTTTAATTTTGGAATTGTAGAGTAAAATATCTTATGGATGCTAAAGACCCATATTAAGTTAACTTGGGTTCTTTTCCACTCCCTATTTGTTGCTTAGTTGAGATACAAGAGTTAAAAAGCTTTTAGGGAAATGTTTATGAAAATTTTGCTGTCTTGAAGTAAATGATAAAAACCTATTTAGTAAGCTAAAAAAATATATTCAAGTAAAAATACAGCTAAATTAATTTTACTGTCCAGATGACATGAATACATTAAACAAA